TAAATCGGAAAAGAGACATGAACCTCAACCCCCTACAATTTGGTTGTTATTATTTTTTTCAATCCTTAAAAGAGTTAAGACAATAAGACATTAAGAACCATTTTCATTTCTTTGAAGAACAACACAATGAGAAAGATGAGCAACAACATATGAAACTACACTGCTATTGAATTTTATAACCGTATATCTCTCCAATCAGACACAGAATGAAAGGAAAACGTAAGGAGTTTGAAACAATAACATACTCAAGCTTGCCAATAGGAAAGACCCTTCTGCTTCCCTTCTGATCTGATCTGACACCAATAAAAGCCCCATCGATTAATGCATCTCCTGAAGCTGAGGCTGCTGGTGTTAGCACTATATTCTCATGAACATCATGTAAAACGCAGTTCCTGCAAACCATTAGCTTCCCCTCACTCACAGATATGCCTGCCCCAACAGTCATTTTTTTGGTTGCAGCAATGCAATGGAATAAAAAAAAAAAAAAAAAACAGAAAGCCACCCTCTGCACAGAAAACAAAAAAACTCAAATTAACACAAGGAAAAAGAAATGAAATACAACAGCCACAATAAAGGAAATATGTCCAACAATCCAACAACTCCTATGAATCAAGTTGAGAGGAGAGCCCTTTAATACTTGTAGGTTCTATTATTGATCCATTTGCAGGAACCAAGAATAATAATAATAATGGAACAAAAATCCGTTCTTGAATATTAAGCAAAATTGGGGAATTGATTCTCCGCTTAAAAATCTCTACTTTGATAAGTTGATGCAGATACAAAGGAATTTATGCTGTGCAAAAAAATCATTAAAGGTGTAGGTGTAGACTGAAAAGCAAGCACCCAGTTAGTTGTCCGCTTAAGAACATATAAATGAGGAAGAACAATAACATTCAGCAATATAGCACACTTTTCTTTCTGGTCCTGTCAGTCTCTAATCCAAATATATACAAGTAAAACGAGTATGTTGGGACTTAACTGAAAATGGGGTGCAGTCTCCTGCGGTTGGGGAAGCAAGCTTGTGCCTTGCTCAATCCTTGTATATAAGGTGTGTTAATTGTGGTTGGAGTCGGATGGTAAATTGGTAGTGGACTCGACACAAGGGAAGTTAAGCAATGTAGGGTGGGTGGGGGAGTTCAGCTCTATTATTTATCTCAGAGATCAAAGCCAGGTGGCAGGTTGTCTTCCAATCCATCGCTCTCCTTGCACTTTATACATCCAATTGTAATATATTAACTCTTTTTTATATTTTTATTAAGGCAAGTGATTCGGAGGGAGAAAGGGAGATCGAATTTTGCAATAATGAAAAAAATTTACATTAAATTATTGACTCATTAGTTAGACAGGTCTTTTTCGAAAGTTTTAACTTT